TCCTTTCCAAATAGCAGCTACATGAAAATGTAAATATATATGTTTTCGGCTAAACTCCAACTAATCTATAACACAAGAAGTTAGATGGAAGTTTTTTCCCAAATATAATCCAAGTGGTAAATATAATCTAAGACGAACACAACTCAATTTGCTTTTGATTAATATCAAGTGAATAGAGACTACATCTCAAATATAATTCATATTAAATATGGCTAAACATTTGGAAATTCAACATAGGATTTGTGTTATTTACATTCTGGCCCTTTTGTAGCATAAGAAAGGTCCGACATTGAACTTGTTCGACGGTGTTCCAAAGGGAAATTTCAAGGGAAGAGAGGTTCAAAATCTAAAACTATCTCGAAACAGGGATTCTAGCTAAACCGTTGTATTTAAAGTTCTATTTGCGCAGGAAAGTTAATTCTATCTCAAAAGGTGGAGGTAGTAGATGAGCAAATGTGGACAGGTAGTTGAAGAGGGGACGGTGTGTGAACGTACATACATATGTATATCTATATATACACATACATACACACATATATAGTACCCCCAATGATCCTGCGCCTCCTCATAAAATACTGGAAAATGCAGTATTTTTGAGCGTTGCACCTGCCTTTGTTTACCTCCTGGAAAGGGGTCAACATGAGCATAGCTGACATGAAGCTCACCAAAAGCACTTGAAAGTTTGTCTAACCAATAACTTGAAAGTGTGTCCACTGGATCGCTAAGCACTTGAAAATTTGCTACTATCGGATGGAAGATTCAATATTGAAGATTACACAGAACACTTTCCTGAGAATTGTCAATCCTGGCCAAACCCAAATAGCATTCAAGTTCTTCTAACACTTGAAAGTGCTTTACCACTGGATTGGGGATTCAATATTGAGGAGCCCACAAACCACCACTTTCCTGAGAATCATCCATCCTGGTCAACCCCTAAATGTTCAAGTTGTTCTATCACCTCGAACATCCGTTACCACTGGATTGAACTATTTCACGGAAAACTTTTCCGAGAATCTTATTGAACACCGAGAGTATTGGGACAACCCTGGAATTTTTAAAACTTTTTAAACATTATGGGATTCAAGATTCAAGATTCAAGATTCCCAGACAATATTTTCTCAGATTCTTGAATCTTGAATCTTGAATCCATAATTTTTTAAAAACTTTTAAAATTTCTGGGATTCAAGATTCAAGATTCAAGATTCCCAGAAAATATTGCCTCACATTCTTGATTCTTGAATCTTGAATCCCAGAATTTTTAGTAGTTTTAAGAAATGTCTGAGTTGTTCTTGTATTCTTGGATGCATTCAAACTCTTTCAGATTGCAGGTGCTGATGTCATTGCTTTTATCACATTTGTATGCATGCATGCGTATCATATACATGTATGACCCTCCCCCCAATTTTGACACAAATCCAAGAAGCAAAAAGAAGCATAAAACACGGGAAAATACAGGTCAACCGCACCAAACCAGGGTCCATGGGGGGGGGGGTACCATATATATATATATATATACACACGTGCACATACACACACACACACATTTTTATGTACATATATATATATATACACATGCAGACACGTGTAGTTTATCAGAGCGCCCCCTTTTTTGGTGGTTGCTTGGACGCCCAAACCAGCTTTTTCGCACCTTTTCTTTCAATCAAACAACGGCAACTGCGAAGCAACTAGCATGAAGCAGCTTCCATTTGCCTCAAAGAAATGGTTGTTTTTCTCCCTGGTTTTTTCAGAGAGTCCATCACTGGACTTTCTATTCCGATTTTTCCAGGGGACAACACCGGTGGAAGAACCGGCCCGGATCCGCACTCCGCGGCCTCGCCCAAGGTCCGCCTCTTCATCCGGGTCTTCGACTCCCCGGCCCGTGCCAAGTGGCTAAGCCCAGGAAACCAAAGGTCGAAGGAGCCAACTCGGTTTTTGGACTGGGTCAAAATAGGGGGAACCATTAGGTGTCCTTTTTAGGTTAGTTTGGCTCAAAAATAGATGGGTTCCACTGGTTTGGATAGGTTTCATTCCATTTGCCAGGGCCATCTATTTTTACAAAAGGCCACCTATGGGGGGAACCCCCAAGGTGGAGGTGTTCCTTTGGGCTTCCCGCTAAACCAAGCATGAAACCAAACTTAGCCTTGGAGGAGTAACGCATTTCCCTGAGGCTTTGAGACATGCGGTGGCCGGGGTTTGTGACATACAGTATCCCACTGAAAAGTCTAGGTTCCGCGAGGGTCAGCGTATTTAAAAGAGTGGAAGCTTTGGGGAATTCTGCTGAAGGCCGTGGTTGCGGATCTATTTGTGGTGGAACATCGCCGGTTTTCGGGATTTTTGACTGGAAGCCGCGGTTGTTAAAGAACCAATGTCTTGGTGTTTCTGGAATGACACCGTGGCCCGAAAAGGCCTGGCAGCGGTGAGCTTTTGCTAAAACGAGCAGACCGCCCGGTCTGGGTCCGACAAACACAGGGGTTTGGTTTCACGTAGGTTTCGGGGTGGTTTAAGCATCTTTCAAGCTGGATCCATTAAAGTGACACCCCCAAAAAATACCTGCGAATTAGTGGTTTCAAGGGAAGCCACCCCAAGAGTAGTTTTGAGAAGACCTCAGCATGTTTTTTTGGGACCCAGCACAAACCCCGGAACGTTGATTTCCATCTCAAGAACCAAGAACATTTCAGGAACTTTGGGAGTGTGGACTATCCCCCAAAAAGGGCCTGCACAAACCGGGAGCTTTGATGTTACATATTTTTCAATAAACAGCAGTTGTTGAAGCATTTGGGTGTGAGTTTTAAGTGGGAACCCTCTAGACATAATCTGGTGATTTCGTGTGCGCTCATTTGGGAGAGTATTCCTCACTAGATCTCATATCCGAGAAAACAACCATCTCCGTCCTTGCCAAACGCAAGCGCGCTCCCAAATGCTTGTTGTTTCCTGCCAGTCTCTTTTCAGAATAAAACCCGAGAACTGGGGGTTTTGATGGACAGTGCCACGGTGGTGAGGCGCCACGCCTCCAAGACGGCGGTGGTGCACCAGCCGGGGCTCCCGGGAGATGTGGCGTGATGCATTTCCGCTGTGTGGCTCCCTTCACCCCTCCAGGAGAATAAGAATGTGCTGGCACTTGGTCTCCTTTTTTTTAATCTCTCTCTTCCCAGAAGCTTTGTACACTTGTTTGTTTCAGCATCTTATTTGTTTGCACCTGTCCGCCATTGCCTTTTCAGCTCATGTTTCGGGGTTCTGGCAGGTTTGGTGGGAGCTTCCGGTGGGTTTTGGTGTGTTTGTGATGCTTCAGGGTTCCCTATATTTCAAGCCTACCAAGGCGCAACCTCACCAAATAGAGGACCAGCCAGGTGACGTTTCTGTCGGTGTGGGCGTTTGTGACTAGACATCCTCTTCCGCGTCAGTGCGCTTTCGCACTGCTTGATCTTCTTGCAGGGGTCAAACGGACGGCGTTGCCCCCAGGGTTGATTTCTCCAGGGAAGCATCTCAGTCAGGGTTGGAGTGACTCGTGCGCCAAGAAGCCGTTGTTTGTGAGGGTAGCCTTAAAGAGCACTGGTGCTTAAAGGGACACCCAACAACCAACCAGCCATCTAAACAAAAAACACGATTTTGAGAATCTGTCACACTGCTTCCCCCATGCGTTTGGACCACAGCGTGAGGCTTGCAGTCTCATTTTCTGGTTCTCGGCATCCAAAGGCTTCAGACATTAGAGAGGGTTGCAGATTCAGATCCTAAAGGGGATGACTTCCAAAAAGGTGTCCCTAAGCAACCCCTTTCGGCTTGTGAAAAACCAGGGGGAACCTGCGATCCCCCCCCTCCCCCAAAAAAAAGAAGAAAAAGAAGAAGAGGCAGAAGAAGAAGAAGCAGAACAAGAAGAAGAAGAAGAAGAAGAAGAAGAAGAAGAAGAAGAAGAAGAAGAAGAAGAAGAAGGTGGTTTCCCTTTTGCTTCCGTTCAAAACCACCCAGGAAACGGTACCCGGTAGCCTCAAAAGGCGACACTGACATGCACTCACACGTATGAACAACTGAGCAAGCGCGGTAGGCAGAGGAGTAGCCAGCAGACAATGAAGCTGGCAGCCGGCGAACGATCCGCACTCTTGGCATGGCAATACAGAGACACTTCTATTTACTTGAGAATACTTGTTGTTTCCCCTTCCTGGTTCTGAAGGGAATCACTGCTGGGCATATTTTTGTTGAACCCAGGAGACAAAAAAGGGGAGGGAGGGCACTGTCACTGGGTCAGGCTGGAGATCCGCATGCGCTGAGAGACAAACCAAAACGAGAAGGGCTGGAACGAACAGCAAGCAAAGTGAGCCACAACTCCATTCGTTCTTTTTCTTTCCTTCTTTTTTTCTCGCTCTCTCTCTCTCTCTCTCTATTGACCTTCGATTTTGTACCCAAACTGGGGCGAACCAACGCCCCCCTTCTCCGAAATGGGAAGACCCTTTGAAGTGGTGGACATGAGGTCATGCCCAAATCGCAGCCCCTGGTCCATCGCTTCCTTCGATGCCAAGGTGCGTGCAGTGCGAGAGTTTCTTCGTGCAGAGGTTCGGGGAGATCGAGGAGGGCAAGGAGCCGCCCTTTGCGACGTCGTCCTCTTTTTCTGGTGGGGTGACGCCACGGAACGCTGGAAGCCCCACAACCGACATTTTCGCCGTTTTTGGGAATCCTGCAGGAGGTTTCCTCCGGCAGGGGTTGGCGTCAAGAGCCGCTTCCTGTGGCCCTGTGCTGGGTCCCTGGCCAAAACGATTCAGGAAGGGCTCCCTAGTTTCAGGAAAACACCTGGCAGGTTTCTCCAACTTTGGTGACTGTTATCAAGCCAAGTGAGTCACAATTGGAGGGTAAGGGACAATCCCAGCCATAAATGGGTGCGGCCGCCTTGTCAAGTCTCTACATGGTTCTGGGCAGACCATTTGACCACCGAGTTTTGATTACGACTCAAAAATGTTGGCCAAAGGGGTCCTGAGACGCGCGCCTTCCATTTTGCCCGATTGCTTCCGCTATGGCTCCTTAGCCGCCCGATTCGAAATTCGGCGCGGCTGGCCATGGCGTACGCAGGGGACAGCGTGGTTTACTATGAGGGTGTGAGGGCGGAGGAGCTCCGATTGAGCCGCGTGCCGCGATGTGCCCAAGGGATAAGCTTCGTCAGGGATGGGGCGGTTTTTGGTAGAGAAGCCTTGTGACAAAGTAGCCATAGGCGCACAAAACCTGGGCCATGTGCCATTCGCGAAGGATCCCCTGCTGAGCTTCGGCCTCCACACCTCGGTGAACCAGCTGATCGTGGATGTGACCGAGAAGCAGAAGGCGTGAATCACTCTCTGCTCTTCCACCAAGCCGTCGGTTTCAACGGTCTTTGTGAGAAGACTAGATAAATGCCCTCTGTTTGTAGTGGAGGTGAGTGTGGTGGAGGCGAAAGGCTTTTTAGTTTTTGGTAAAATAACTTCATGTTGAAAACCTATGACATCTATGTCAGTCCGTTGTTCCCCCACTTCCTCCCCCCCAAAAAAGTGGAGGTAGCCCGCGGGAAGTTGCCTCACTGCAGTCAAACAGCTTAACCCAAGTGTCACCCCATATCGTCAAAAGCCATTCAACCCTCAATCGCACTACTTGAATTGCCCGAAAATCACAACCAGGCACAATCTACTGTAAATTTACGGGGCGGACTTTTGGTTCCAATGCGTCAGGGGCATCCTGCTTTTTCCCCAACAGCTGAAAGCTTTGGGGTCTCAGCGCAGATAGGCTCCGGGGTGGTCCGGGGCGGCCCTGAGGTAAGGTTCCACGAGGGTTTCACGAGGGTTCCACCAGGGTTCCACGAGGGTTTCACGAGGTTCTGCGAGGGCTGCGGGGTGGTGCGAGCACTTAAAAAGAGCACCACATGCTGTTGGGGATATCACCTGAGCTTCTTTTTGTTGACTGGGAGCCCCAGAGTGGCTGGATGTGGCTCCAGCCCATTTCTCTCAGGAGAGCTTCCGGCAGCGCTACGAGCGCGAGGCGGCGCAGCTGCGCAGCGCCTCGGAGAGAAGACTCGGCTCGCTGTTTTCGGCCCGGGGGGTGGTGGTGGGGGAAAGAAGCGCGGAGTGGCTTCTTTGGTGCTTCTATGCATTTTTTTGGGGTAGTCTTTGTTCGCTGTCTTTGGGCATTTCTTCTTCTTTGTTGTGTTGTGTCCTTTTCTTGTGTCCATTTTTGTTGTATTTGCTATTTTTTTTCTTGCGTTGTTGATTTGCCGATGTTTGCTTTTTTTTTGTTCTTCGCAAGGGTGCAGGTTGATGACACAATAGAGGGGATGGCCATGCCGGGGTTGGACGTGTGCCATCCATTTCCGCCCAACTGTAGCAACGTACTTGCAGAAATGTACAAGGACCAAAAGAGACAGACATGGTGGGTTTCCTTTCGGGCTCTCCCAGCAAAATAGGTCCGCCATGTTTTAGGGTCCACGTTTTGGGTGGTTGGAAAGGACTTTTTTGTTCGGGGACGGGGGTCGCCGGGTCCCCAAATGGCGCGACTCCGTCGACTCCGTGAGGCAAGTACCAGGGCCTTGAGCCGGAGTTCAGCGACGACGACATGAACGCCTCGCTGCCGGAGCAAGACAGGCACGGGTGAACCGAGAATGCGAAAAGGTTGAAAGGGCCGAAGGGGGTCTATCTCTTTGAAGGGGACCCCCCCCCAACGGAATAAAATGTGGTTTTCCCTCTGGTTTTCCTTTGGTTTCCCTTGAAAACCAACCAAAAAAGGGTTCCCTTAAAGAAAGGACAAACCCATATGGGCCTGTCTGGTTTGTTGAGGGTACCCTTTTAACTTTTGGACTGCTTTAACAGGAACGACAGGAAAGCCACCCATTTGGGAGGTTCCACCATTTGACACAACCCCATACTGTTGGTGCACAAAATCCTACACCACTCAAACCATGGGAAATCATTGTTTGTTGGTATTTGCAGGGGAACCAGGCTTTCTTAGGTGGTGCGAAATGGATTTCGTCCATCCACAGTATGTCCAGCTGTGGCATTGTTGGGTCTCCTTAGTCAGCTAGCTGGTGGGAGGGAGCCAAGGAGCTGGGGTGTAAAATTGGCCTTTAAAGAGGGAGCTGCGGAGCTACCAGGAGTTCCGTAAGGACATGGTCAGAGATTCACAAAGGATGGTTGGAACTTGCTGTTCGTAGGAGTGTTGATTTAACAAAGTTCTCATGGCAACACAATCGCGGCAAATAAACATTCAAGCAATCAATGAAGATGATGCGGCCCCTGTGGTTCAACTTGAAGGGGTTCTCATTCCTGATCTGGGTTTGTTGGCCAACACATGTTTCTCGGTCTTGACTGAAATGAGGAAACAACCATCAAGAAACAGGTCAAAGCTTACCAACTGAACAGGTAAGCTGTATTTGCATGTTTAAGCCAACGCGGCTCGGTAGGAAACGTAGCGTGGCTTCAGTCTGTCTTTCAGTTCCTTTAAACTGCAAACATTCATCCCACCGGGTGGGAGGGGGATGGGGTTGCTTGAGCTGCTTCCAACACATGCTAATTACCCTCAGCTTGATCAAGGCCAAATACTCTAGCTTGCCCCACTTGAGGGGGCAACCTGCTAAAGGACCCCCCCTCTGTTTGCAGCATACATGGAAGACTCTTTTGAAACCGTTGGCTTTTGAATGACATCTGTTTTGTTTTGGGTTCTTGGGTAGAGGAAGTTGGCCTCATTTTTGCAGGTCAGTGGTTCATGAGATGCAACGGATTTCAGGAAGCGCGGCTGGCAGTATCCGCTGACCAAGACGCAGCAGAAGAAGGCATCTTGGCTGCCCTCTAAAGGCCGACATCCGGTCCGGGTTTCATGCGGTGGCCATGGTTGAGGGGTCAACATCAGCATTGAAATCTTTGGAGTCTCTGACCACGTAGGCTGTGGTTGGTGGTTCGGAGCTTTCATTTGGAGGGATCCCGGGGCCCGGGAGCGTTAGCTGGGCATACTTTGAGGGAATTAGTTCTGTGTTCCGTCCAAGAAAAAGTGTTCGGGTGGGCCAAGGGCTCATTTCACCCCGATGTTAGGGCACACACCCAAATGGTTCTTCGGCTCGCTTTGGATTTGCTGCTTCCAGACAAAAGTCGGGGCTGGGAAGCCTTGCTGATTTCGCGGCCCTTGGACCGAAAGGACCTGCAACCTGTTGGATGTGTTCCGAGATGTACACTCTCAAAAAAAGTTGGTGGCCATAAACTTCCAGATGAATCATGTCCACAAAATGGTCCCCGTTTGAAAAATCAGACCTCTTCATTTTGTGTTAGTCACTTTTGCCCTTTCATTTCTTGGGCAATTGTGTGGGCAATGACCCAGGCTCTTGGATTTTTCTTTGTTGTGCTCCTAGAAAGCGTTTCCCCCTCCTCTTTTTTTTTTGGGGGGGGGGGGGTGTGACATCTTAAGGAGGGCTTGACACTACACCCTTGGATTCAAAAGGGGTTGTGCTTGAGACTCCTGGAACTCCCAAATCGCTTTTACCGCAAAGCCAAGCATGCGATACTCATCGCTGTCCCAATTGCAGGCATGGCGAAGAGATGTGCTCGCTTTATGCATTTGCAAGCACATGGATTCCAACGGATTCGACCTTTTGGTGTGCCCAACTGGTGGTCGCCTTTGGTTTCGTTCGGCAAGTGAGTTTGCCAAGGAAATTCGTAAATGAGTTGCTTGGTCGGGTCAATGTTCATCTTTCTCTTGTGACGCTGTATGGCTGGGATCCACTGCACGACGGATGCTTTGACCTTGGCAAGTGTGGAAACGCAGACCATTCTTTTAGTTTTCAGGGGTTTTGGTCGGTCTATTTAGAATATTTTGGGAGTCAATCGCATCACGCAGGGGACTTATCTTCCGGACAATTGACAACAAACTCCCTGCCAAACGTCCCACCGCCGATGAGAATACTTTTCCAAGGGGTCGGGTTCTTAAAATCCAGAATGCCACGTGGCTCGGAAAAGAAGGCAAGTGGATTTTCAAAAACCGGCGCCTGCTTCCATTCAACCGGCAGCTCTTCACCGGATTTCCGAGGCCACGGACCTGGCCAAAGGTCCCCAAAGGAAAGCTCACTGGTGCTCGGAGAATGTGGAATGACCCGGCCACTCCCATTCCGTTTGTTCCTCTCGAGTTTATGCCTTCCCGGAGTTGTCAGGGGCTCAGATCAAGCCCCCCCCCCCCCACAACCAACCATTCCTCGCTGAGAATCCATTTGGACAAGTAGCGACCTTACCTTACATCACGCCTTACTCGTACGGTTCTTGATGTTTTTGGGTTCGATTTCTGGTTGTTGGTGTGTGATTTTGCTATTCACGATTCATTTCCCTTCACTTCTATCTATTTGTTTCTGTTGAATATCAGGACTGAAACACAAGGCTAGACAATCGGTGCGGCGTCCTTTAGATTTCTTTTACCATAGGCCAAATATCAAGCCTTGTACCGCGGTCATTGGAGCCACTCTGAACATATGCGGCATGTCAAACGCGGGGTTATGTCATTTTTCTAATGTCTCCCCTCTCTCCCTCTTTCGTTCTCTCTCTCCCACCTCTCCCTATTTTTTGTTAGCTAGCTTAAACATCATTTCAACTCATCGCTTTCATATGGCTTAGAACCACAGTGGTGCTATTTCTCCGTATTTTCCCAGCTGCCGGAGTCGAGCCGTTTTTTGTTTCCCTTCTGGGGGCCCAGTGAGGAGTTCGGGTGCATCCCTGCGGAGCAGCAGCGCTTCTTGTGGCGGCTCCAGGACGGGCACCTGGACATCGTGGAGGACTACCTGGGCAACCCCAAGATGCGAAAGGCCGGGCCGGGGATGGCCGGGGGGCGGGGGGGGGGGGGGGAACGAACCAAGGGAAAACATGAAGGTGGGTTTCTGGTTTTTGGTTTCCCTGGAAACGAACCAAAACAGGGCTCCCCCAAAAAGACAAACCTCTTTCTTCTGTTGAGGGCAGGAAAGCCAAGCTGTGGAAATGGGACGACCCGTTTTGAGAGGACCCCACATGTCCATTTTGGGGTTGCTTTAAAGGGGACCACAGGAAAACCTCCCATTCGGGAGGTTCCACCATTTTTGAGACAACCCCATATGTCCAGCTGTGGCACCTTAGACGTGGTTGGACGGAAGCTGGACTGGGAGCTGGGAGTATCCACCTTGGCCTTTTGAAAGAGGGAGCCTTTCGAAGCTAGCAGGAGTTCTGTAAGGACATGCATGGTAGTGGCCCAATGGGAAGTTGGATGTTCCGGAACGGCCTTCTGTTTGATTCCAACAAAAGGAGGAACTCCCCCTTTCATCATGTACCTCGCAGGCCGAAAGCATGTTCTTTTTCCTTCGCAGGATTGACTTCTAATTTCTCCCTGTAAGTTTCCGAGGTAAACGGGCATGCGGTCATGACTAGTACACATTTGTTATTTGGAATCGGCACATTCAGCAACTTGATGTATGGGTGTCGGCTTAGTTTCTCTCGAACTGCAATCCAACATCTCTTCGTTTAGAAACCATTCAAGCGGGTATGTGACATGAAACATGTACGCATGTTGTTTTCCTGATTTTGTCCTTTTTGGGTTTGCTTGAAAGGAAAACCAAAGGAGCACCTCCCTGCTTGTGCCACGGGCAAAAGGCCCCTGTGCGTGGCATGGACGCAAACTCAAAGGGTTTGGTTTCGTAAATTGGGGAACCGCATGGATGGTTCCCCTTGCGCTTCCCTTTGGACTCACTCCCTGACTTCTGGACTTTCACTTCTTGGGTTTGGCCCATTTTGGTAAATAACAGTTTGGTCACACTCTTCTTGGCCTTCCCAACTCAAGCAAGCCAAAAACAAGCCAACCAACAGAAACAAAGAACTTTCTCAACCCATCGCGACTTTTTTGCTTTGGCTGCCTCTTGCCAAGTCGAACCGCCTGAACCGCCCATCCGTCCGTCCAGTCCGTGGACCTGAACCGCTACGACGCGGAGGGGCTGACGCCTCTGCACCACGCGGCCAAGTTGGGGCGCGGGGACATCGCGCCTCGGAGCGGAGCGCAGAGATACCGCGGAGGGTCGTTTCGGGGGAGCGGAGTGAACAGATGCTCCGATTTTGAGAACATACTGTGGATGGACCAAATCCTGCACCACCCAAGAAACATGGGAAACCATTCTTTGTTGGTATTTACAGGGGAATCATCATTTTAGGGTTTCTTAGGTGGTACAGGATCTCGTCCACCCACAGTATTAATCCTTTTTTCCAACCATGGAAGTGGAAAGGAGCTGTCCCCAAAAGGAAAGTAGTCTTTCAACACCTCTTTGTCCACTTCCATGACTGTTGGAGGAGGGTACATCAGATGAGGGCAGTTCTCCAAGGGCAGGGAAGACATTAACAATCCCAAATAGTCGCTTTCCTTGTTTGGTTTTACACCAAAGGCGGGTGTTTCCCCAACAAGAATGGTGGTGGGTGCCTCAAAATGGGGAATCGCTTTTTGGATTCAAAGGACCCGAAACTAACCTCCTCCAGGTGTCCGTAGTTTTCAGCCGAACTTGGGATCCACCACCCAATACATCGATTTGGTGTGGAACAAAGGGGCCAAACCCAGTCAAGCCAAGCCAAGCCACCAACTGGGGGTAAAGTGACCAGGCGAGAACTTGTCTACTGGGGATCCAGTTGATGAATCAAAACCCTAGTGGATGAATCGGGTTCTGCTCTAAGGTCGTCTCCAACGGTTCAACATTCAGCTGTTTGAACTTTCGGAAAGCCCAGTCCTCCAACCTCCGGCGCTGGTCTCTTCCTTAAGGAGGGCTCTTGGAATCGCCTGCCAAAAGCGGTGAGCCCTGAGGTGAAGGCCCTGATCGCGGGCAACGCGGACCCTCTGCTGCGGGACAAGGCGGGGTGTGCTCCAAGGTTTGCTCCGACTGAGGCTTGGGCCTGTGAAGCAAAAGGCCGTGGTGAGGGCTAAGTGGTTCAAGCGCCGAATGCTTCCCCCCACCAATCCCCACTGGGCAAACTCCCCACTGCGGCAATTGGTTACAAAGATGATTCTCCCATGGTCGTGATGTAGTTTGGTTTGCTCGTGCCCCATGCCCTATTACCCTTCTTGTTTCAAGGGTCCTTGTATGTCAATTGAGGGTCCTTCACTTACATGGAATAACTAAGCAGGGTTATGGGGGTGGGGGGGGGGTCCTACTTGGGTGTCAAGGCAAGTAACCCAGGATACAGGGTGAAATGGAGTCAACCCATGTAAGGTGGGTTAGAGCCTCGGTGGATAAGCACTCACTTTACCGATCTTGTGCTTCACGCTGAGCCCGTTTTGCATTTTCACCCCACGCCCGAAGCAGCTCTGAGGCTTCCAATATCAACCCAAAGCCACCCCGAGTAACCATAAGGAACCCCAAGTCAAGAAGAACCCAATAGGAAGCCCTTGCATGTGCTCCCACCCTTTGTGGTTGACATCCCCAGTGCGACGTATTTCCTGGAGACCCACCTTGCTCAACAGAGGACCCCCCGAAGAACCCGAAGCAACTGCGCCGGTTCTCGCTAGGTTCACGGCTGCACGGCCCTGGACTATGCCAAGAGCCACGGGGAAGCCGCGGAGGCCGTGAAGGCCAGGGGGACGTGTTCACGCCATGTGGCCGCTCAGACGTGGCTGTCGGGTTTTGAGGCGACCGGTCTTTTTTTTCTCACCTTGGGAGAAAGGGGAAGCGAAAAGGAGCACCGGAGCCGCTTTTGAGGTCGCCACGCAAAAACGATGTGGCGTGGCGAGCAGCAGCCCAACCGAGATACTTCTAAGCCCAAAGGACCTGCGTTGGCATCTGTGTGCTTTGTGTGCCGTCCTTCCTCAAATGCACTCTGAGATTGGTTAGTTTTTTGACTCGTGAAGACCTAGAGCCAGACAAGACTCAAACGGCTAGGGGCTGGTTGGGTGGTTGGGTGGCTGGCTGGCTGGCTTGCTAGCCGTCCAAAACTTGAAATTCACGTTTGTGGGTTTGTGGGTGGGGTTTCTTGCACATGGCCATCAAGTTTCCCCCCCTGAGGGTTCCTTTTTGTCCGCCTGCCCCTTAGGCCATCCAGAACTTCGTGGTGTGAGCGGCGGAGCTCGCGAGAAGACGAAAATATTGGACGAGGTTGCCCTCACAAACATGGAGCACACCAAAGGGTCTCTTTCGGGAGAAAGGTGGTCCTTCAGGACTTCCTAGGAGGCTCGTGATGACCTAACCCCCGATGCTCCTTCATGCCACACCCATTTGCACTAATGGAAGCATGACTCTGAATCTCTGGTTATGTGTCAACCTCCGAAACAACGGTTTTCCTATCGCTTCCCTTGAATGCCACCCCGAAAAGGGTTCTCCCCCCCCTCCCCCCCGGAAAGAAGGCAAGCAACCAGATTTTCATTCTTGTGATTCATGATCGTGCGTCCTTTTTCTGGGGGGTGTTGATAGCACAGCGGCTTCTTCAAAGGGGATATGCCTGTACCAGTATTATTGGTGTCCCTACCTTGCCTCCCATTTGGCTTTGTCTGTTTGAGGGTACCCTCCAGCATTTCGTTTGGGTTTCCCTTGACAACCACGGCAAAAAGGGCGCCCTTCGCCTCCAAAGGCACGGCCAATTGGCTTAAACAAATCGCTCGATTCGAACGCCAGGAGGTGAAGTACAAGCCCGCCAAAGTGGCCGTCCCGGGCACCGAGTGCTCGGAGCGCACACCTCAATGGCTCATCGGCTCGGCTCGGTTTTGGAAGGGATCCGCACAAGATACCCGCCTCATATGGGTCCTTTTTTTTAAACAAATATGTTTTGAGGGTGCCCTTTTTTTGTGCTTTGCAAGGGACGTTAAAGGAAAACCGTCACTGCAGGGGGGGGGTTCCGTGCAAGAAACACATAGCCATATTGCACCGGGCGGGAGGGCTTATCTTGATTTGTTGGGAACATCTTGGATTTTCAATTGACCATCCCTCAGATAAACTTCCTCCCACGAACATAGTACCCACAGCTTTCCCTTCTTCTTGTCAGGCGCCATGTTCGTGGAAGAGACGGGTACACCTGCAGAGAGATCTTTTGGGAAGTATTGGATCTTCCCTTCAAGCTGGAAAACAGGTCATGTTTTTTCGGCCTGTTGGGCACGGCCCACTCAAAGCGGGGTTGAGCTTTCGAGGTTTGCTTGGTTGGTGCTTGGGTCAAGGATTTTACTTTCGAAGAGTTGTTTGGAGAGGACATTTCACACATTTTGCAGTGATTTGGGGGTTTTGGCCTATGACACCATCCCAAAAAGGATGATCTAGGTAGGCAACGGCTTCGCGGCTCTGTCTCGACACGGGTCTCGACTTTCTTGAGGTGCAAGGGGCGTCTCAAAGTGGGAGGCCTGCAAAGGGGGACGGAAGCCCAGGGCATCGCGGGTTGGTTTTCGTTAGACATGGGTCTGTTTTTTTTTGTTGAGTTGGTACCCTTCTCGAGGTTGGTTTAATGGAACAGGGACAGCGCAACTTTTTTTTTTTTTTTTTTTTTTCCGGGGTCCACTAAAAAGAAGATGCACCCACATGGGTTTTTCAATGTGATGACTTCAACATCGAACGAATCCGAGCCGGGCTTTTCGGGTGGTTCCCTGTTAAAGACAAGGAGGTTGGTTTCCTGAAAGCTTCCCTCCTGTTGTCACCCCTCCATCGTTTGGACAAATGCCCTCCGAAAGTAAACATGAAAGGAAATTGCAGACGCGTTGGCAGTTGACATGAACGCCTCCCAAAAGGCGCTGTGGATTCCGTTTCCAGGTCCAGTCTTCCTTTCTCAATAGGAACATGCCGTTGCCCCTTGCACCCGTTCTTCAAATCGGGCCCAGCCCTGTAGTGTGGTTTTGGTTTCCTTCGAAAAACAATTGGCCAGGTGTCTTTTGCGGGCAGATCGTGGCAGATTGGATCCCGGATCCAAGTAGAAGTCCTGTGTGATTTTGATGGGTGTCTGCTTTTTATCAGAGGGCCTAAATTCAGGCTACTCTTTGATGAAACACCCTGATCCGGGTTCAACCTTTGGCCCTCATTTCCCTTGCTTCGCCTCAACACAGCCAGCACCAGAAGCTCGCAACTTGTTTCGGTCGCCTGGATTTGCCTGCCCCAAGGGTGTGACTGACAACCCTTACTGGTTGCACAATGCCGAGGTTTTGGCCTATCAAAAAGAGGAGCACTTGATACCCGTTCTACAACCGGATTCTCCAGGGACGTATGCAAGGCCTGTGTGGCCTTTCTGACCATCTTGTTTTTCCAGAAGTCCAGGCAAGCCAGCTGCCTTTTTTGGCACCTCAATTTAGGTCCATCCTTTGGGTTGCTGGTCTCGGCTGCTTGGTTTTGTTCCTCAAGACGTGATGCTCCGATTCTCTCACTCCGCTGAACCCTGGTTTCGTTTGTTGCTCCGACAACCTCTTTGTTTTTTTTTGAAGGGACACCACGCTTGGGGTCTTGTTGAAGGGGAGCCATTTCGCGACTTTAGTTGATATGTTCTTAGGAGCAGCTGCAAGTAGAGCGCAAGGTGCTTGCCTTCCCTTAGGTGGATAGGCCATCCCTCTTCAAGTACAGGGCCGCCCTACTGTGCAGGGACAAAATCCTGGAGCACTTGGGGATGGACGAAGCCTTACGATTTGTGGGATAAAACCGCCTTCTTGTCGAGGTCCCCCAGTAGTGCCCTTCTCTCCCCTTTTTTTTGGGAGGGTTCCCCTACTAAAATAGACTGCAGAAAAACACAAAAACAAACAGATGGTACCCTTTTTCTAACCTCAAACTACTGGAGGACAGCGGATTTTCGCCAACGTAGGCCCCTTCCACTGCGGGCCCCTCTACGACGCTGACTTCCTGCAGCGCTGTTTGCGGGCCTGCTCCCCCGAGCAGATGCCAAACCTGCCCGGGGTGACCAGCCGCTTGGCCCTTTAAAAGCACAAGGGCTGCCCTCAAAAAGACCGACCCATTTGCTGAAGAGCATGATTTTTTCATTTGCCTGCGTTGGCTTTGAAGGGAACCTATCACTACTGGGCTTGTTTTTGTCCAGGTGACATTTTGCGCACATGGGAGGGGTCCTTGTTTTTTTTGGCTTCTTTGGGGTTTGCGGTCTCCCTCGAGGCCTCCCTCGGGCGGATTTCAACATTTTTAATGGGGGGCCGTTTGGTGGACATCATTTACATGAACATTTGTATCCACCAAGCTTAGGTTGCGTGTCCCCATAGCCAAATCGATGTGTTCAACTCGCAACTCTGTGGTCGAAGATACCTCCGATCTAGTCAGTCCATTGAGGCTTAGCTTTTGGAACTGAGGCTGGAAGAAGATCAATGGGCTCCTAACGGCGATGAGTGAGGAGCATCCAGATGCCGGCGGCCAAGTGAGGGCTTCCCTTCAATGAGAATCTAAAGCTAAAGGCAAGAAATGGCCAACTCCCAGTGTGATGTAGGAATGTAGGGAAGTTTTGGACAGACCTCACCCGTGCCGTTTTTTTTCTGCATCTGCTCGTCCGCCTCAAGCTCCGCAGCAGACACGCCCACCCCGCAGACGAAGAAACGGATTGGCCCCTCACCTAACAAGCGTGTGCTCGCTGGATTTCAAGCTCAGCCAAACGAGTTATCCAGGACCGTTCTCTCCAAATGTTGTGAGGGATGGTCTTATGTGGGACCGGATCAGTTTCACTAGATATGCCGATGATTGACATGGGAAGCTCTCGCAGGCAGTTGAACCCCCGCAAGCATCAAGTGGTTTACCTGTGTCATGTTGATAAATCTCACATCTTCGGTAAACCCTCTCTGAGGTTGAGCATGGACCAACTTGCTTGTTTCCGTGTTTTGCCTCTGTATCCTCCCCTCCCTCCGCCTCTCCCACGCTCCACTCGCCGGCGGTAGCTGCCATGGGCGCGAGCTCGAGCGCGGGGACGGAGGCCGCGTGCGGGTGCTGCACGGATCGCAAGTCCGGGGCCTTCGTGCGCTTCGCGCCTGAGGAAGGCCGGACGTGTTTCGGGGGCCAAGGGGGGGGGGGTAGGTTTTGTTGACATCACGAGCAACCACTGTTGTTTCAACGACCTCCTTTTGCGTACCGCGTGCTTTCCGACGCAGGGTCGTTGAGCATGTGGCAAGCTTTTTGCCTTGACAGCGACGTCGAAGCTCGTGTTTCGGCAGTGCTGTAAAAAGCGTGGCTGCTTGGCAAGTGTGAATTTGCACATTTGAGACATCTCGAAGACCCGGAGGACTAATCAATTGAAGTGCAGAAGGCGCAACTTTAGGTGTGAACGCAGTGTTTACGTGTGGAGCGCCAACGCCACCAAGGCAAACAAATGAGCGACGGAGGCTCAGGAAGGGTGCCTTCTAGCCACGTGAAGAGCAGGATGGTTGCTTAAGCAAGTTGTGCCCATAGGCGAATGGCTCTGGGGTTGGGGCGGCCTTGGCAGAATTGCAGTCCAACACTGAATCTGGGGACCAGACTGTGCAAGGCCAGTCTATAGTCCGCGCGGCCCAATTTTGGTCGAGAACCCATTGGTGCGACAGGCACTCATCTACGAACGGGGAGGTGCCACATCCAATTCCAACCGGGGTTCTCGCTGCATGTGGCTCGGTTTCATAGGGGCCGACCGGACTCGCCCGCCCAGACCAGATGAAGACCTCGCAGAAGCTGCATGTCTTGCGCACCTCCATCTCCGATTCGAGAAGCGCCTCGGCGGTTGTTTTGGTCCACGGGGTCAAAAGCACATGAAGTGAATGGGAGCTTAAAAAAAAAACTGTGGGTGGACGAAATCCATTTTGCACTGTGCCAGAAACCCTGGAATGATCCGATTCCCCTGTAAATACCGAAAAGAACGGAATGGTTTGAACCTGGATTCCCAAATCAGAACTCATGAGCCCCCTGGGAGGGACTGAGAAGGGTTTGGTGGAAACACCTCAAGGTCTTGGGGTTTGTTCGGCATTCTCCTGGGGGTTTCTTCAGGTTTGCGGGCCCAGCAAGGAAGCCAGGGTCTGCAGGGTTCCGTGGTAACCCATGTCGTTTTGAGCCAAAGTGGACACAGACGTTTTCTTTCTTCTTTTCGAAATCTGAGGTTCTGACGTTCCAAATCCACCAAATCCCCAGCCATTTCGCGGCTGGCCATTTACGGCCAGAGCCCAGGCGTGTCG